GAATAGTATTCCATGGTATACATGTACCACTGTTTGTTAATTCATTGCTGGGTTGATGAGCATTTAGATTGTTTCCATATTTTGGCAATTGTAAATTGAGCTTCTATAAACAATCTAGGGCATATGTCCTTATGATAAAATGATTTTTTTCCTTCTGGGTAGATGTCTAGTAATGGGATTGCAGGATCAAATGGGAGGTCTAAGTTGAGTTCTTTGAGATTCTCCGTACTTCTTTCCAAAGAGGCTGTATTAGTTTGCAGTCCCACCAACAATATAAAAATGTTCCCTTCTCCTCACATCCACACCAGCAACTATAGCTTTGAGACTTTGTGATGTGGGCCATTCTCACTGGGGTTAGGTGATATCTCGGTGTAGTTTTGATTTGCACTTCTCTGATTATTAAGGACAATGAGCATTTTTTCAAATGTTTATTAGCCATGCTGTCTTCCTCTGAGAAGGTTCTATTCATGTCTGTTGCCCAATAGTAGATGAGATTCGATTAAACACTTTACTAAGGGGAGAGAAAGCATCACTGATGAAGAGAGGTCAAGGCAGCCAGTAATGAGAAGAATTGATGAAAACATTGCAAAAGTTCATCAAATTGTGCATCAGATCATCAGCTGTGAGAAGCCTAGTGGACCAAGTAAACATTGATAGAGAAACAGGAAAATCTTGATATGAGAAAGGGGTGGCTTTTGCATCACGAAGATGCACCAGCTCACATGACATTGTCTGTGAGGGAGTTTTTAGTCAACAACAATTAACTGTTTTGGAACACCCTCCCTAATCACCTGATCTAGCCCCCAATGACTTTTTTCTTTACCCAGAGATAAAGGAAATACTGAAAGGAAGACATTTTGGTGACATCAAGGGTAATAAGATGACAGCTCTGATGGCCATTCCAGAAGGAGTTCCAAAAATCCTTTGAAGGAAAGACTAGGTATTAATGTATAGTTTCCCAAGGGGAGTACTTCAGAGTTGAGTGTAGTGATATTCAGCAATGAGGTATGTAGTGCTTTTTGTAGGATGAGTTTGTGAACTGAATTGTGAGACCATTCATAATTATGAACTCACTTAATGGGGTAAATGGACAGAAATCCATTTAGAGTGAATCCCTAAGCTGAGAAATCTTACTGAGTTATTCTGTAGTGCAGCACAAAGAGATAAAGAAATGCAAAGTATGAAAAAAATGTTAAGGTGTAGAGGATAGATTTTTCTAATCAAACTGCTAAGAGCAATTCTAGAAAGGAAATAAAGACCAGGTGCAGTGGCTCATGCTTTTAATCCTACCATTTTGGGAGGCGAAGGTGGGAGGATTGCTTGAGGCCAAGAGTTTGAGAGTTTGAGACCAGCCTGAGCAAAAAGGAGACCATATCTCTATTTAAAAAACAAAACAAAACAACGACAACAACAAAACAGAACAATTAGGTGGGCATGATAGTATACATATGTAGTCCTAGCTACCAGGGAGGCTGAGGCAGGATAATCACTTGAGCCCAGAAGGTGAGGTTGCAGTTAGCTATGCTGACACCACTGCACTCTAGCCAAGCTACAAAGCAAGACCCTGTTTTGAAGGAAAAAAACCCAAAAAGAATGAGAGAAAAGGAAAGACAGCATACAAAGTACTAATGGTCATATTTCCCACAATTAAAGAACTCTCTAATCTGATTATCTGGAAATGTCAGAGTAAAACTTCAGAATAATAAAGATGAATAGAGGAAAAAAAATGTTTAAAGCTTCTAACAAGGAAAAAAAAAAGATTACCTGCAAAAGAACAATAGTAATATTGGCTGTAATAAGATAATGGAACAGCATCTTCCTAGGGCCAACAAAAAGTAACTGCCGACCTAGGATTTTATGTTCAGCTAAATTATTACTCAAGAGGGAGGGAAAAATAAAAATATCAGAGACAAAGGAGTCAAAGTTTAATAACCATGAGTTCTTGCTGAAAGATTTTCTGAATGTCATACTCTAAGAAAAATGACCCTTGCAAGAAATAACAAGCCTCCAAAAACAAGGGCGAATAAAGAAAATCGGTAAAACCTATGGTAACTGCTGATTGGAAATAAACCTATTTAGTAAATCGAGGTGGAGCTAATTCCAGATGATAAAAAGAGAAGGACAGAGAAGGGAGCATGAGTATGTATTTTGAGCTCAAAAGAAATTGAAGGAGAGACCGATTAGCAAAAGCGAAATAACATATACAGTTCAAAACAGGAGAGGGACAAGGGGTGTGATACAACTTTTGGGGGGCGGGATACAAATATAAGAGTGTCCTTATCTAACAAAAGCAATCAGTGTAACCTGGTTCTATGTGCCCTCAATGAATCCCCAAAAATAAAAAATCACATTGCATACCTCAAGTATATAATTTTAATACAAATTTTTTAATAAATAATAAATGAAATAAAAGAAACAGAGGGAGAATAGAACAAAAGGAAACTTGATGAGCACAACAAACAACAGAACTAAAGGGGGAAAGGTGCTAAAATATACCGTGGTATGGAAAACACAAGTCCAGACATATCAACTATCAGTTACACCTAAAATAATGACAAACCAATAAATTTAAAGTAAAGGGCTAGAAAAAGATAGACCAGGTAAATCTTACTGCACTGGGCAGCAGTCTGCTCTTCCTGCTTCTACTCCTGCCCAAGGTGCTCCCCACCACTTCTTCAACTATTGGTCACACAGCAGCCAAAGTAATCCTTCTAAAGGACAAGTCAAAGTAAATGACTAGACTTTGTTCAAAACTTTCCTTACAAAGGCACAAAGAACCTTCTGTGATCTGGCTTCCCAGGCTACCTCTTAGACCTCTTTGATCACCTTCGTCCCTCAGTTACTCTGATCTACCCACGCTGGCTGTGTGGCTGTTTGACAACACCAGTCACTTTTCCAGTGCAGGAGTTTATACTCACTCAGTCATTTCATTTAGATCTCTGTTCATATGTCATCTCCTGAGAAACCTCTCCTGACCACTCTAGGGTATCACCTTCATCACTACCTGATTGCCTCCCTTTTTCTTTATGGCACTTAAAAGTATCCAGCATAGTGGATGTACACTTTATGGCACTTAAAACTGTCTGGCATAGGCTTGGCACCTGTAGCACAATGGTTACAGCACCAGCCACATACACCAAGGCTGGCAGGTTCAAACGAGGTCCAGGCCAGCTAAACAACAAAGGACAACTGCAACCAAAAAATAGCCAGGCATTGTGGCGGGTGCCTGTAGTCCCAGCTACTTGGGAGGCTGAGGCAAGAGAATCGCTTAAACCTAAGAGTTTGGGGTTGCTGTGAGCTGTGGCACCATGGCATTCTATGGAGGGTGATGTAGTGAGACTCTGTCTCCAAAAAAAAAAAAAAAAAACTGCCTGGGACATGCATTTACCCATTTATTGTATCTTTCTCTCTCTTACTAGAATGTAAACTTCAGGTCAAGAACTTGGACCTGTATTTACATGGTATTCCCTAAAATGGTGCATGGCACATAATGTTAGTTCATATTAGTTAACTAGACATTTTATATTATATATGGTATTATTCCATTTTAAAGAAGAGGAAACTGGGGCACAGCAAGATTAAGTAACTGGTCCAGGTTTTTATATTGATAAGTGGTAGAACTGAGATTGAGTGAAATAAATACTAACAAAAATAAAACTGCTAAGCAGTACTGATAGTCAGAGGAAATAGATTTCAAGACAAAATGTTCTTAAAGAACAAAGACAAATGCTTCATATAATTGAGGAACACTTCAAGAAGTTTTAGCAGTCACGAATGTATGGCTGTATAGGTGAGAGAGAACAAAAATTGGCAGAACTCTGAAGGCAAGAAAGCAAACCATGGTAATGAAAGGAGTCTAACCACCAAACCAAGGTGAAACAGTAAGAGAAATATAAAAAGTGTGTTTCCTTAACAAGCTCAATCCTAAGAGCTATAAATTCTTTTTACAGGTTCGATACATGAACAAAAGTAGAATATCCTCAAGGCCACAAAGAAACAAAGTTATGTGAACATATATTTAATGACAGCAAAGCTCTCAACAAACGAATGAGAAGAAGCCACATAACCCATGAGAAAGATGGGTAAATGATGTGAATAGGCAGTTCTCTACGGATTTATAAATGGCTAGAATCATGTGAAAAGATGCCACATTTCACTAATAATTAGGGAACTGAAGAGTTAAAAAACCCAGAATAGTGCCATTTTCACATCTTTAAATAGTTAAAAAAAATTAAAGCTGTTCTCATTTAAAACATTTAATAAAATATTAACTATTAGAAGAAACTGTAACTTTAATTTCATAATAGTGTTCAATTTGGACAGACTCTGAAGAATGTATTTGCTGTAATAAGAAAAAGGAGAAATGTAAAGACTTCAAATATGGTTTTTTACTCTTTTCAAAAAAAGGATAGTGGTTTTCAGTTGCCTATTAGTATAGCAAATTCAGGCATACCAGCATGGAATTCAGGGTTCCTATAATCTGGCCTCATCTCTGGATTCCTCAGGTTGTTTTTTCTCTTCTTCTATTAAAAGGCGTCCTTACTATATCTAAGAAGCCCTCTCCAACCTAATGTCCTCTTTCCTCACATATGCATGGGCTGAATTTGTAGCCCAGCTGAATCCATACATTTTGGGGAAGGCTTTTCCAATTAGAACTGCTGTGGCCTCTTCTTACTTCTGTTTCTTTTCATTCAACCCCTACATCATTCATGAATTGTCCCTCTTATTTTGGTATTTTAATCATGTAATGCTTATTTTTGACCTTTTGTTTAACTGTAATAATGTGTAACATTGGTATATGCTTGTGTGCTTAACTATAGGACATAGGATAAGCTCCTGAAGAATGCATTATTTCTCTAGGGAGTGTATAGCACATAACAAGTCCTAAGTAAAACATTTGCTGAATGAATAGATGAAATATGTTCATTGTAGTAGAAACAATGAGTATCTTGTCCAACTTGTATTTATTTACTTTTTTTTCATTTATTTATTTTTTGCAGTTTAGAAAGTTTATATCTTGGAGGAAACTTCATCAAAGAAATCCCACCAGAATTAGCAAATCTGCCTTTTCTGACTTACTTAGTATTATGTGACAACAAAATCCAAAGTGTGCCTCCTCAACTTTCACAGTGAGTAGTTTCAAGCATTTATATGTACACAGATATCCATGCCTGGTGATAATTGTTTTGCATTTACTCCCATATTTTATGTGTAGAAAAGAAATAGGTATTCTCAAAGTAAATGATATAATTCTGAGGTTGTTTTTAATTTCCCTTTTAAATGCTCTTGTTTATTCCTCAAAAATATTTGTTCAGCCTATTTTCTATAATCAAAGAATAAAGTATTACTTTAGCATAGATTTCCCTGGAATTTTTAGTGATTTTGCTTTGTACTTGGTACAAAGCATTCCTGTCTTAATGAAGCTTCACACATACAATGTGAAGAATCTTCATTCCTGTTGCATCTGAAATCTTTCCTTTTTTAGATATCTGAATGATAGAGCATTCCCTCTCCCACCCCCACCAAATATCTTTAACTCTAGTATTTTATATCAGCTAGCATACTAGAATACTCTGCAAGTATTCTGTGCTTGCTGAGATTTCAGGGGCAGAAGTCCTTCATTTACAAATTTGCACTCTGATCTGGTTTTAGCACCTTTTTATTTTACTTCAGTTGACCTTAATCTTACTTGCTCATTCTAAGGGGGAAATCATGCTCTATACAATACACACACAGACATCTCCCCCCACCACACACACACACAGACTTAATTTTCTTGGTAGCTATGTTGCTTACTGCCATTGATTTTTTTTCATATACTACATTTATTTTAGGTTGCATTCTCTTCGTTCCCTCAGTCTTCACAACAACTTGTTGACATATCTCCCTCGAGAGATCCTCAACCTTATTCATTTGGAAGAGTTGAGTTTACGAGGAAATCCATTGGTTGTTCGTTTCGTTAGAGATTTAACCTATGACCCTCCAACTCTTTTGGAACTAGCTGCACGGACCATTAAAATTCGAAATATCTCCTATACTCCCTATGATCTTCCTGGGAATCTTCTTAGATACTTGGGGTTAGCCACCAATTGCCCAAACCCAAAATGTGGAGGTGAGTTAATTCAGTTTTCATGTCTTCCACTCATTCAGCTATGTTTCTGAATTTAATGATCTAAGTATTGTTTTAGTTACCTATATCTTATTTCAGAGAAAGATAATGTCTGTTTCTGTTCGCCTTATTCTTTTGCCCTTTTACCAGAAAGATGTTTCACCCTTTAGATTTCCTCCTTTTATTTTCTTAATTTTTTCCATAATTTTAGGATTAATTTTACAAAAGAAAGTACCCAGTAGGTCTCATCCTGTTTTGGAACTGTTACAAGATATTAAATCAAGATGGTAAAATGAACAAAAACATAAAGGAAGCATCAACAGTTCTAATTGTTTAAAATGAATTTCTAAAGTTTTGGATAACTTTCATGTTTGTTTGAAGGACATTTTCTTTGACTCACCATTCTGTGTAGGGTATATCTTTATAGGGTGTGATTCATGATGTATGAAAGTGAGCTAAATGTATGCTGATTTTAGGATGTACCTTAGAACTCTAAACTCTTTTAAATCCATGGTTCAAAATTTCTTTAGTTTGGATTTGGGGAGAATCAAGCAAGTAATACAAGGCAGAGTAAGGTAAGTATTCCAAGGAATTAAAAATGTTGGAAGTCAAAGGAAGGAAAGAGTATATTGAATGAGATCTAGAAAAGATGAGATGATTCTTGAGGTATGACTTAGATTTTGATAGGGTAAGATTAAGGTTATGAAACTTTTCAGATGCAGAGTACAAAATGGAGACAGCAGTATGGGGCAGAATGTTGGATTAGCAATAATTTTGCTCAGATGTACAATTAGGGGAGTGATGAGAGAAAAGGTACACTGAGGCCAGGTTGCTAAAGGCTTAAAGGGCCCCAGGGTATCTGTGTGGGAATTGGTGATCCATAGCAGGTCATTTTGTTTTAGCTCCCTCATAAAAGACTACTTTTTAAAAAATCCAGTAGGTACTGAGGAAGTGCTGCAGAATGATAATCGAAACCAGTTGAGATTTTCCCTGAAGTCCCCTCTGGTCTTGAAACTTTTATAAGGTTAAAAGGAGAAAATGATTAAATTCCTCAAAGATTGTTAAAAGTTAAAAAAGACACTTTGGGTTGAAAAAAAGACAATACTCTAGGCCATGTCTAGTCATTCAGCAGGTAGAGGTTATAGTACTGTGCTAAGTAGGAAGTGCTTAAGGTTTTCTCAGTGATTGTCCTTTCTTGAATTGGCTATCACAGTGACAGGAAAATACAGAGGACAGTGTTCACACCAGGCCTTCAGGCCTACTCTAAATCTAGATTTAGTCTCTTCTTCGAATTCATTCTTTTTTAGAAAAGAACCTTTGCAAGAATTCTTTCTCTCTCTCTTTTTTTTTTTTTTTTTTTGGCGACAGAGTCTTACTTTGTCACCCTCAGTAGAGTACTATGGCGTCATAGCTCACAGCAACCTCCAACTCCTGGGCTCAAGCAAGTCTCCTGCCTCAGCCTCCCAAGTAGCTGGGACCACAGGCACCCACCACAACGCCCGGCTATTTTTTGGTTGCAGCCGTCATTGTTGTTTTGGTGGGCCCGGGCTGGATTTGAACCTGCCACCTCAGGTGTATGTGGCAGGCACCTTAGCCACTTGAGCCACAGGCGCCAAGCCGAAGATATAAATTTTTATTGTGCCCAAGCAATGTGGTAAGTGCATTATATGCATTATTTCATTTAATTCCCACAATCTTATAAATGAAGAAGGTACTATTATGACACTCATTTTACATATGATAAAATTCTTAAACAAGCCTTAGAGAGTTAAGAAACTTGTTAAAGGTCACAAAGCCAGTTAGTGGTAGAGTCTGGGACTAAATTCAGACGGTGTAAATTTCTTAGCCACTGCAAATAATTATAATAGGAAGTAAATACAATATAAAGAAAAATGAACAGAGTATTATGAGAACTCTGAGAAAGAATACTAAATTAACTAAACTATAACTTATAGCTGATATATTTTAAAGTAGTTTATTTTTATACCTTTTACTTTATAAACCAGAAGGTAGTTATAATGTTAGGATATGTTTTAGAATTTAAGGAAGCAACTACTATATTTATCTCTTATTTATATATGATTATAATTTTCTAAAACTATGAGCATTTTTGATAAGCCCTAACTTGTTTTCTACTGACAAAATTATTCAGAAAGATTTAGTTTCTACTTATAAAATGCAGAAGGCCTATTATATTTACTATATATCTACATACTCATTTACAAGATACAATCTTCCTACCTATTCACATCTGCTACACTATAAACCACATTTGCAAATAAAACAATTTTCAAAAGAAGAATAATTCAAAAGATGGCATAAGTTAAACTAGTAGTAACACATTATTGCCTCATGGTGGCACAAAAAACATTGTATCACTAAGTTGAGAAACTATATGTATTAAGTTTTTGTTGATGTTGATAGAGTACACACCTGTTAGCAAAGTTCCCATGACATTGACAGCTAAACGAGCCACACTAAGTGACTTTGGTAATGCATACTGGATACATAAATGAGAAAGCAACTGGATAGCAAATATCTGCAATACAAAATCAATCCAACTATTACACACTTCTCAAGTATATCTCTAAGTATTAAAAATAAAAAATGTTTTTATATAACATGCAAAACTGGACAGAGAGCAATTGTCTTTTTTTATTTCTTTTTTTTTTTTTTTTTGGCGACAGAGTCTTACTTTGTTGCCCTCTGTAGAGTACTATGGCGTCATAGCTCACAGCAACCTCAAACTCTTTGGCTCAAGTGGTTCTCTTGCCTCAGCCTCCCAAGTAGCTGGGACTACAGGCACCAGCCAGAACACCTGGCTAGTTGGGTTTTTTTGTTTGTTTTAAGAGAGGCTCTCACTCTTGCTCAGGTTAGTCTTCAACTCATGAGCTCAAACAATCCATCTGTCTCTGCTGCCCAGGATTAAAGGCATGCCCAGCCTTCTGATATAGTTTCTTAAGGACTTCTTCTTATACTGGTGTGCTGTTTATATCAGGAACAAAAATGATTCTTGAACTGTTGAAGATAATATATAAAATCAACCATTAGAAATTTTTATCCTCAGATTCATTAGTTGTTGATTCATTAGTTGTTGATTTGTAAGTTAAAAGTACTTTTGTATTTTGTGAGATATCTTCTTTTGTAGTTGAAGATCTCACAAATGACAAGATAGTATTATATTATTTTAGCTCATAGTAACTCCATAGTGCTTTATTTTATTCCATCTATCTTCATGAAGCTAACATATTTTGGGAGGATTTGTTATCAGTCTGTTGATTAATTCATTGAATATATCTACTTTCCTAAATTGTTCAGAGTAATACATGTATACTACAAATTTCCCCCATTAGATTATGAGTTATACTTACTAAGAGATTTAAAAACTACAGTGTTAGTAGGGAAATATCAAGGAAAAAAGAGAAATTGGAATCATTGTTTCTCCTTTGCTTGGACCACATCTTTTTATTTTGGTTCATTACATGATAAATATATAGTAGTTGATGTCACAGGAAACTTAGCAGAGTATAAAGGTTGAGATTGCTCACCAGAGAGGCAATGAGACCCAAAGTTCTAAATATTCTGGTTTTACTGCAGTAATTGTAACAGTCTTTGTGTTTTAGAGATGTACAGTATCTTTTTAAGGATCAGCTAGAATCTAGAGTATGGTAACTTCTGTGTTCCTCTCAGCTCTAGCTCAATTTTTACTTCGCTGAGTGGGGATAGTTCAGGAGCACTACTAACTCAGGAATCAGAAGAGTTGAATACCACTTTCAGTCTACCCAACAATATGTAATTATGTGAGAATCAAATGAGATCATCAGTGAAATAGCTTTGAGGCATGTAGACTGGAGCCTATTGGAAATGTAAAATGACATTTTGTTTCTTTCAATTTTGCCTTCCCCATACATAAGAACAGGAGTACCATAAGCCATCTCCTTTCTACAAATTTTGTGTATAATAACTAATTCTTTAAGATCATTATTAAAGGAATTCTTGTTTTGTTTTAGTCTCCTGACTGTAAGGTGGTACCAAAATGGGTAGCCTGGGGAATAGAGGGAGGGTACTTTAGGTATCTTGTAATTTCCATCAGCCACACTTCCCTGAGTCACCCAGAGAAAATAAGCTAAGTAAGCAGTGTCCTTTCTGTGCCTGCTCCCTTTAAGATAAATCTCCTTGCCTTCTTTCTGTAGCCAAATTTTCCTAAGACCTTCCAGTAGGTTTATGAATAGCTAGCTATAGAGGCAAATATTACCTCTGCTTAAGATTGACAGATGTTCTCTTTTGTGACATTTCTCCAGCACTGTGGAGAAAGGGTTGGAAAAGAAACTGTGGTTCCTTGCTTTGTAATCATCACTTTGTATTTCTTCTCTCTAGGAGTCTACTTTGACTGCTGTGTCAGACAGATTAAATTTGTGGACTTCTGTGGGAAGTACCGCCTCCCACTGATGCACTACTTGTGTTCTCCAGAGTGCTCTTCCCCTTGCAGTTCTGCCTCTCACAGCTCCACATCCCAGAGCGAATCTGACTCAGAAGATGAGGCTAGTGTTGCCGCACACAGAATGCAGAAAGTTCTTCTTGGTTGAACAAGGATGCAGGGTGGTGTAAAAACTGAGCAAAGGAGAAGAAAAGAAAAAGAAAATAGAGCTTGAATTTCACCAGAAACCTTATCTTCATCCTGAGTATCTATGAAAGAATCAGGGATGATGCAAAGCATTCTGTTTTATCTGCCTATTCAGCAGGAATGAGGCCTGTTCCATGTTTGGATTCTTTGAGTACTATTTACTCTGAATGGCAATTCTAAATTTGGCGGATCGTTTGCAATTTTCATTCTGGTTTTGCATCAATCACATAGTGGAATGGTGCATTCCAAAGAGCAGAGCAATGAAAAGCCATGAGTAGTGTTAACTTGTAGGAGTTGGGATGATGAAAGCAAGAAATTATCAAAGCTGTAGTTATCACCAAAGTTATACTGGGGTTTAGGTTGAACACTATACCATAATAAGGATTAGCTTTTCCTTCTTATCTTTCCCATGTGTTTAGATTACACAGCTATTCAGATAAACTCACAGATGTTACATAGGACCTAAACTTTTTTGACCAATTTACTGGTAAAGTAAGGGATGTAATTTTTAAGTGGGGTATTAAAACTCTTCAGTTCTTCTTTGTTCTAAATGTTTGTTATTAACATGTAATCTGTCACTGTAATTATTACATGCCTTTGCCTTAATCCTAGCAAGGATATAGAAAGTTATTTAAGAAATAATGCCAGAGTAACCTAAACCATGATGTACTATACAGAATACTTTAAAATATGCTTTTTAGGGGGAAGGGGGAGACAGAGTCTCACTTTGTCACCCTTGGTAGAGTGTCATGATGTCATAGCTTGTGGCAACCTCAAACTCTTGGGCTCAAGCAGTTCTCTTGCCTCAGCCTCCCAAGTAGCTAGGACTATAGGTACCTGCCACAATGCCCAGCTATTTTTAGAGACGAGGTCTTGCTCTGGATTAGTTGGTCTCGAACCTGTGAGCTCAGGCAATCCACCCGCCTCAGCCTCCCAGATTACAGGCATGAGCCACCACACCTGGCCCATAAAATTTGCTTTAATAGAAATACATAAACAACTGTATATCCACTATCTGATGTCATGGCCATTTTAACTTCGTTTTTTTTTTTTTTTCAAATGTATAGTAAATCTCCTGGAAGCATATCACTTTAATTCTCCTGGAAGCATATTAATGGGAGGCCATGATCTTAATTAATCTTTTTGGCAGAAAATTCTGGAAGAGATGCAAGTTAGGAAAACTTCTTTATATCTTGCATTAAATGAGTGGACAAAACGTGACTCTTTTGCCTATGTCATCTACTGAACTATAACGTTCTATAAAAAACATGACAACAAGCCAAATAAAATTGGAGGAACTCTTTATATGCAATAGAACAGTTTCCAAAACTACTTTAATCATGAGATATTTTTTGAAAATAAAAGATTGACAAAGTAGAAAAAAATGTATTAAATATTTGTATCCTTAAAGTAAAACAGAAAAATAGTTTTACAAATAAATTGCCAGTAGAACTTATGAAATGTTTATTAACTAGTTTAATATGCAATAAATATTGAATAATAGCACAGCTATAAGTTGGTATTATGAAGTACATAATGCTTAACTGTAATTATTAGATAACCAATCTATAATAACATGGGTTTTTTGGTAACTGCTAAATATGCAATAATATATGCATTAGAGAAGTGTTAGAATGTATCTGATCTGTATGATTTATTCTCTGATCTGGCATTCTTGACTGGGCAAACCACATCATACCTTTTTTTTGTGATATCTCAAGATCATTGAGTATGGACACTATTTCTTAAAAGCAGATTATTGTATAATATGTATATATATGTGTTAGGGTTTTTCACACACTTTTTTTTTTAGAAGAATCTATAGTGTAGGGTTATTTAGTGTTTGTGTGTTCATTTGTATGTTAATTCATGAAACTTCAGGAGAGTTTCGTGAACTGCAGTTGTGGAACGCTGCTATAGAGTGAATCCCTTTACCTTTACCTTATTATAATGTAGTCATTTTTCTTTTTGGTCAGAAATTTTGTATGTCCGTAGAAGTTACCGTATGTTTCTACTGCCTAGCAAAGTAATATATGAGTGATTATATCATAAAATAGAGGTAGTAAATTCTTTGCTTACTTCTTCATGTGAGTCACAGCATGCTGCAAAACTTCGTAATTGTGAAAGGTAAAGTTGACTTAGGCCATGCCTAAGGATCAACCTAAAATGTTTTTAAGTGACTTAGTTGAGATACATAAAATATTTTTATAGAAAATATATTCATAGTAAAATACCTAAATTGATAGGACCAAATTTTTCTGGCTTAAATAGCTCTGCTTAATCCTTTTTTTTTTTGGCAGTTTTTGGCCAGGGCTGGGCTTGAACCCGCCACCTCCGGCATATGGGGCCAGCGCCCTACTCCTTTGAGCCACAGGCACTGCCCCAAGAGTTAATCTTTGTAAAATAAATTGGTAGTTTTGTAAATACAGTATTTAACCTTTCATACTCTTTCTGGCTTCCCGGGAAGAAGGTAATACTTCAGCTTTTACAGATATTTTAATAAGTAGGTCCAACCAGAAATACTTCCTAACCTTTGCTATGTAATGTAAGTACACACTACACTGTTCTTTCAACATAATGTGGTTCTATCTATGTACAGTTGAAAATTCTGTGGGATTACTGTGCTACTGTCTTTGGTAACTTTTAATGCAATCTACATTTTAACTGTTAGTTCTGTCTTTTAAAAAACTCTTTGACCTAACTTTTTATAAGAGCTGCTAATAATTTCTTAAGATTTTCATTGTTTTCTTTCCCTGTCTTCCCTTTTTTTCAAAACTGATGATTATAAAAATTAATCAGAAAGTAAGATACAAGGGACTCAATAATCTAGAAACTGTATAATCAGATCTTAAGTCACATAGCTATACATTTAATATGATAGTCTCTTTAATTCCTAAGTCACATGTTTGTGTTTAATTACTGTTAAACTTTAATTGATTTTTTAAAACACATTCACAGATTCAGCAATGTCTGATTTTTATAATGAAATAAGTTTTTGATACTGCTCTACTTGGATGATTTTAGTGACCAAAACTGTGACTAAAACTACTTCAGCAAAACATTAATGTATTTAGAAAGGAATTCTTAGTAGTAATTGGAATTGGAATAAATACATTATTCATTCTTGGCAGTCTTTATTCCTAGAACCCATTTCTCTCAGCATCTCCAAACTGAGTTGGTGAGATAATCTTAGGATATTAGAAGATAGGAAGATTAATTCATATAATATTTTGATTCTGTGGTTCCAGGGATTGACTGACAGAAGGACCAGCTGGTCAGGGTTCTCAGTATTCCTGTATTTTGATTATTGGAGATAGATCCATAAATGGCTGGTCCTATTTTACTTCTAAATGTGTGTGGGAGATGTCTCTTGTTCTACAGTTCTTAATATTTAGAACCTTGTTACCACATTCAAAAGTAAAGACTTGTAAACGGTGCCTTCAATTTGAGAAATTTTTATAGTGATGTAAATAAAAGTAAAAGGCAGTTCATAATAGTGTGTTGTAATACTGCAGATCAGTTCTACCAATGTTATAAATATCGCATTTAAACAAAAGAAGAGAAGGAAAGGGCTGATTGCTGGAATGCTAAATAAAATCTTTAAAAGTAACAAAGGAGAAGTCACCAGACACCTAGGGATATTCCTGAGCCAAAAAAACCCTTAAAGTAATTGTGAATTTTTTTTAATTTAAGTTATTAAGTGGCCTTACTGACTACCATTTGAAGGTATTTATCACTCACTAAGTTTATTCAGCCTCTGCTGTTGGGAGATTATCCATATCTCTCCACAATGAAGGGCCAACGAATAATAGGATTTCTTTACAGCCAGCCTTACTCTTCCCAAAGGGAGAAAGTAATACCTCATTAACCTAGAATTCATACTACAGCTGGTAGCCTTGGTTAATGTTTACCTTTCATTATATAAAAAAGTAAAAACACTAAGCAAGTAGTGCAAATAAAGTGATCTTTGAAAGCATTTTAGTCGTAGCTACTTATGTAAGTTAATGGTTATTTTTCCTACATCTTAATAAGATCCCTATAGATAAAACTACTGTCAGTTGGATGGATATATAAGATTAGTTATGCTGCATTTTTTTTTTTCAGTTTTTTTGGCCAGAGCTGGGTTTGAACCTGCCACCTCCGGCATATGGGGCCAGCACCCTACTCCTTTCAGCCACAGACACCACCCCATTTTCTTTTCTTTTTTTTCTTTTTTTTTTTTTTGAGACAGAGTTTTACTTTGTCACCCTCAGTAGAGTGCTATGGCGTTACAGCTCACAGCAACCTCAAACTCTTGGGCTTAAGTGCTTCTCCTGAGTAGCTGGGACTACAGGCACCTGCCACAATGCCCAGCTATTTTCTTTAGAGATAGGGTCTCACCTTTGCTCAGGCTGGTCTCGAATGTGTGAGCTCGGGCAGTCTACCTGCCTCAGCCTCCCAAGTGTTAGGATTGCAGGTGTGAGCCTTCACATTTAGTTAAAAGATCCAAAAGTAAGAGATCTTATGTCTTTATGTCAGTATAAATACTACTCCCCATTTAGTCTAAAGTAATGAGCTTTTAAGTTGTGCTGAGCGTTTAACAGTAAAGGCTACTATATAGGTTTTTAGATAGTGTGACCTATAAGAAGTATTTCTGAGACCCTCTATATTGGGGAAAAAGTACTTGTCCTTCACCATTTCTATGTTAAGCTATACCCTGTATAGGATGAATGATTTTAATAGTGCACAATTTTGTATTTTCATTGTCATGATAGTGTGACCTGTAATAAGTACTTCTGAGACCCTCTATATTGGGGAAAAAGTACTTGACCTTCACCATTTCTATATTAAGCTATACTCTGTATAACATGAATTAATTTAGTAGTGCACAATTTTGTATTTTCATTGTCATAATGTTTTTAAAGATAACAGTGATTTCAGGTGTGGTCAGAAAGTATGTGCCTTAAATCCTCCTCTGTAGACCCAAAGTTTTGGAATGATAAATTTGATGAGTTGTTTGTGACAGCCTCGTGCCTTTTTGAATTTGACTTGAGGGCGAAAGACTAATGCTAAGAGGTTCCTAATGGCCTGATGTGTAGAGTCTAGGTCTGCTGGGGAGGGAAACTCAA